ACGAGTGAATCGCTCAAAACTCCAGATTCTTTTCACTGACTCAGGAGTCACCATTTCCACTAACTAGTTTAGTGACTTGCCTTTCCTACCTGCTACTAGTGTGAACTGCAAAGACGCTATATAAACTGTATTTGTGGAACTGTATTAAGTTAATTACTTTATTAACCTAGTCATGTATGGAAAACAACCACTTTGGCGCTTGTTTGAACTCTCGCTCTCCCAGCCGGGAGCTGAAGGTCTGACTTAAATCCCTCACTGTGGATTATTTTTTTTGAGCATCACAACCCCCTGCAAGATGACTTGTTTTACTATCAAAATTGTATCCATTTTGTCGGGTATGATTAAATCATTCAATTCAATTCAATCACATTTAAGTTAGCGGCGGGCTCAACTGGAAGTTTGGCGACTCAGCCGGCGGAAGTCTCTGGTGCACGTGCGTTATGGGCCCTGGGGCTGGTGGAGGATTCACCAAGCTCTGGGTGACTGACTTAAGTAACTTGAAAACCCAGCTCTCTTTAGCGAGTGACATACAAAGTTGAGATAGTAAAAAGAGTCGGACAGCCCATCCCTATTATACAATGTGCCTTATGTAATGTAGAAGAGCATTAACATGTTTGTGATTTTTCTCATTGGCCTGTCACTCCTTCGGTTGTTGCTACAACAAGCTTTTGCTTTGTTTGGCGTGCTAGAAAAGCTTCCTAACCAGTTTTGTGCCGCAAAGCAGCCCCTCTAGTTGCTAATCCAACGAATTTCCAGCCTATTCAACCTAATGGCCCGTCATTAATAATTAGCTTATTTGGACAATAATCTGGCCCTTTGTTCGATGTATGATCAGTCACTCTAAAACCCCCTAAAGGTACAGTAATTTTAACAAGACATAGTTTTTTTCCACAGTAGTTCAATGGTACAGAGCTGACCAGCTGACCAGCCTAATTATTCATTGTCAGCAATGTTTATGGAAAACTGATCCTGGATCTGCCATAAATGATACAATCACATCTCTGCTAAATTCTCATGACATAGCCAGTGGCACACTCACAACCTCTTATAAACTCTTTGTGACTACATTTCACCGCTTTTGTATCAAAGTGTGTCATTTGGTTGGTTTACGACGCTAAAACGATATACCTGTAACCTGTTACACGGTAGGACGGAGTGGATCCTGTAGCCAGCATAGAAAATATTGGATTGTAGTCAGAGCCCATTGCAGTCAACTTTGTGAATGCCTGAGATATGATCAATCTGGACCCACCAACACAGCACACCATGTAAAATGTAGAGACCGCAGTCTGACATATTGTAGTATTTTTGGCAACTTTGGAATCTCAACAAGGCATTCTCTGGATTTGAACAGGTTTGGCTGCACCGTCCAAGTTTATAATGCCAGATTATTTATGATAGACATCATTTTAGGGTACTTTAAACTGCTTTGGAAGATGGGGGAAAAGCATTAAACTGGAATGTTGCAGGTCAAAACCCTTCCAACCCCTATATGCATCCATCAAAAGGCAATGTGTGGTGCCAAAATGCCAATAAGCATAATATTGAACCTCTCTGCTGGCTCATTGTAAGTCATTCTGAACAAGAGCATCAACTAAATGCATGAACAGTGGATGAAATGGATTGCATGCAGGGCTTGTTGTCAGCGAGACTACCCTGTAGCGAAAGGTCAGAGGTCCAGTGCTTGCAGTCACAACCAATGTGTCCATCAGCAGCCATGTATTTTGTAAAAATGACCTTGAACAAAGGCACTGACTCTCTATCTGCTTACTTGTTGTAAGCTGCTCTCAGGAAGATTGCCAACCCTACGCCTGAGATGTAAATATTGCAGTTCATTTTTTTTTTAACCACTTCCATGAGCTCATATTTCAATTTCTCTCACTGCTTATCCAGCCTGGGGAGGTCATACACAGCTGCATGCGATAAGGAATAATATGGGCCAGGGAAACAAAAAGTAAGCTGATCTCTTGTTTTGGAGGAAAGGAGGATGTGACAGAGGTAGAGGTTACAGTCCAAGTGGAATGAATGAGAGCGGCCTCCTTGCCGGTGGGACATATGGGGATCATGCATGTGTGTGCTCTTGTTGTGCAGTGACTGACAGCCGGTTTCAAGTGAACAGGAGGGAAACAGGAGACGAGGAGGTCAACAGACACTGGGCCCACTGGCTCAGGTTGATTGGGTCAGTGTTTCCACTCACACCTCACCATCCCTCGTCCGACTGCGGTGCATAAAAAAACATCTGAACAGGTCGTTTAATGTACAGGGTGGAAACACTATTCTTTAAAGAAGTGAACAAATCCGTCACTCTTGTCCCAACTATGTTTTCAGCTTAAATCTTCATTTTGAAATACATAAAAGAAACCTAAATGACATAGACATTTAGTGCAGTGCAGTAGAAGCCTATAGGCTTCACAGAGGGTTTGTTTACCTCTTTGTGCCATTATCCCATGATGCCCGGATCACTGACAGAATTCATATAGAAACTGATATCGGCAAGCTGTGATGATTGCGAGGGATCTTTACAGGGATGCATTCACAAGGATTATGCAAATGTGTTCTCGCTCAGCAGCCGAGCATGACGATACAGGATCCTGGGGAGGTAGTTACTTTAGCTGGGACAAAAAGCCCGGCAGCAGCAGTAAACAAAGTAAGACATGACAGTTAGACACACGGAGAGACACCCACAGGTCATATCTGTCACCATTTCCTGCTCGGTTCCTTCTTCTCTTCTTAGCTACTTTTACTTATTCTTACCCATACCCATGCTTAAGCCTAATGTTCTGTTTGCATTCCTAGAGACCTCGAGGCCTCTTTAAAGTCCAGGTGAAATGAAAAATGTTGTTTTAACCCTTTAAGATTGCATTGTTAGTCTATTTCACTATATCAAAATCCAATCATGTTGTCTTCCTGTAAAGAAAAATGTGATGCATACTTACATAAGCATGAACTAACATTCACCCACCAATCAATCTTCAACTTTTAGTGACACAGAGCAAAGATTCATTAGTTAGCTAGCTAGCTAACAGCATGCTAGCTACTGGAGCGGAGTGTCTCCGGGGGCCGGAGCTCTCTGATTACTGTACAAAAGCACAACTTTATCAGTGATTTGGGTGAATCTGGATCATATTTTATGGAGAAAATATTCTCTGGTTTTCCCTCTGATGTTCTCCAGCTGCTCTGCCTAAACTCTGCTAACTGCTAATGTAGCTGCTGTTAGCGTGCAACTGAGAATCGGGGCTCAGCAGCCTCCCAGTGAACACCCAAACAGACAGCGAAGACATTTTTTTCTCAGGACAGTGACGCTCTGTACCTGTGACAGTCCTACTCCTCCCAAATCCCAAATAAGTGTGTACACGTACAGACCTGCCACCTCTACCTGACTCTTGGCAAACAAAGGGGCATACAGTATTGGCTGATGCAAAGCCTATACAACATATAAAACATGAATTATTTCCTTATTTGGTTAACAAACAGTTAAACTGTATTCATTATGTATTTTGTCACCATCATTAAAGGACAATTCCGGCG